AAACCATAACGTTGTTTTCATACAGTATAAAGTCTCTTGTGACTGAAAAACATTGCACCTGAGATTTGGTTCTGAGTGGTGAGATTATACAGTACATATAGCTATGTGGTTGTGAATTATAACTAATCTTACTGTCAGCTAGCTATATTGTTTGTCAGTTATGTTCTTCATTGTTGTGTTTTTGACGGAGGAACGGTTTGCGTTGGGATCTATTTCCATTGTCGTTTACTGAGCTCTTCAAACAGTTTCTCTGGGTGTCTTTTGTAACGCTGCCCAGCCCGCCTGTTTGATGGTGTAGGCAGTTAGGGTGTGTGTGTGTGCACGTGTGCATGCGAGTGTGTGTGAGGGGGAGTTGATAGATGGGTGGGAAAGGGTTGTATAGGTGAAACATTGTGGGAAACAAGGTGGAGCTCTACAGGAAACGTGTTATTAAGAGCTATTGTGAAAAGGATTACAACCATTGGTTGTGTGTGTATGCATATTTGTGCGTATATTTTGCCCTCTATTTTGTTTAAATCACACTGCAAGGCTAGCACTAGCACCTCCCCTCCCTCTCTGGCTCAGAGTGCACACCTCAAAGACCTACACATCTTTGTAGATTGTATACAAGGTTATAGACCTTTTCAACTGTCAAAACAATAACACGTTCTATATGGACGCGCAACCAAGAGGTTTCTCAGTAAACATCCAATCCTGCAGCGCACCATAATTGCTAACTAGCTAGTTAGTTGGCTAGCACAAAATTATAAGTTAGTATTTCTTGATCCAAACTTTTTTTATTTATTTTTTAACAAATGAATTATATACACACATTTACTTGTTGCTACCAGATCCACTAAACAAAATCATCAAGCAATGTTTATTTCCTGTTTATTATCCGTTTGCTCTGATGGTGTTACATTTGGCTAGCACAGCAAATAACCAGAGCTAGCGTTGTGAAGGTAGAGAAAGATCAGCTTACCTTGTTAGCCAGATAGATAGATTAATTTCTATCACGACAGCCAACAATATAACTAAACTAAAAGTAGCTAACATACGAGTCCAATGTTTGACGGCCACATTGTTAGCTAGCAGCAGGATTAACCCACTATCAACCTCTCTCCCCCCTCACTAATCTGTCTCTCTTAGCTCTTCATCTGCTTCCTCCAAAACGCAACTATATTTTACCCAGGTGTACTGCCCACTTAGTTTTAATTAAGAAACATACTGTAGTTTTAATGAACCGCTAGCTTGTGCTAGGCATGTATTAATGACCTCACGTTACGAGACCAAGCAAGTGGTTTGTTTACATGTAGTAAAGCTTATAATACAAATGCTAGCGCGGACACCTTGTGGTGATAATGTTGAACTGCATATGAATTACACCATGATGATAAATTACACGAAGCAAACAAATTGCAACTTTATTTCAACCAACATGTATTTTGAAATTAAATTAACCTTAACATATTCCTTTCTGCACACCCTCGTGATAGTGATATTTGCTAATAATGTCTCTCTCCTGAGAAAGTCATCGTTAAGACCTTCATTACTAATCCAATTCATGACGGCATGTACAGTAGCTGTAGAAGTCAAATCTGGTATCCTTCAACATTGTTCGCCTCATTAATTATCTAATGAAAAAAAAATTAACACACTGATATTGCCAGTATTAATCAGACTTTTCTTTTCTTTCAAGTTATTAGCAAATGATTAACACACACAGGTTATCTCAGATGTGTAAGTACTTTTCCTATTTCTAATAGTATCATTTCAAATGGAGAAAACATTTCAGCAAAATGTAAACAATGTGTGAGGATTTGCAAATCCTGTTTCAGTATAGAAATGACAAGCCACATGGACAGGTGCATTGGACATGCCCACGAGGCCAATACTAATCCCATCATGTCTGCATTGGGCATGCATGCCATAAATAATCTCACATCCACTGTAACCAAAAGGGTAGAGCACGGATAGTGGAAGCAAGAGAAAAATACCCTGGAGAGAGACCACAGTGAAGGGTAACTTTTACATGGGCTGCATAAGTAGCTATGTAATGTATGAGTTCCATCCTTGTATGGTTGACTGGGCCAGGTCGCAAACCCTAATCAAATTACAGTTGTAGCTAGCATGCCAACCAGTGGAGAAGGAGGACAATGAGTGTAGCAGAAGGAAGCAAATCGGCGCAAAGTTGCAGGAGATGCTTACAGTATTAAAATATAGATGCATTCATGATAGACAGGAGGAGACACTACTTCAAGTCTCGGGGGGGATGACATCACATCACAGTGGCTACGAGAACTCGCCTGCAACTCACCTCTGCTACAGTCACAACCCTTTCACTTACTCCTACGCCACCGACAGTATAACTCAGCCACCGACTGTGTGATCGGAGTCAATGTAGCAGAATTAAATACTCACAAAATTAATTCTGTGGGTGCTAGATTGACTCAGTTCACACAGTCTGCTCTGCTGGCTGCTGAGGTTGATGTGGAGGAGGAGGTCAGTGAGTGTGTATCACATGTGAGCTAGTTGACAGGTGAGTGCTAGGCTCTTTCTCAATTCATCCTTCCTCGATTCCTCTCCTCGTCTCCTTCTAAAAGCCCATTGGAGAAGGTCTGAGGGGAGGGACCTTGTACTTTCTCCTCCAATACAGTTGCAATACAATAAAGTTGAGGAGATAGGATGCGAGTGAATAATCAAGGAAAGGGTAACTTTTACATGGGCTGCAAAGTAGCAATGTAATGTATGAGTTCCATACAAAGTGAGAAAGCCCTAGTTGCCATCATGTGGTGATGTCACCCGCCCTGAGACCTAAAGTACTGTTATCCTAGCCCAACTAAGATCAAGGTTTTGGTATGGATAATGGACGCTGCTTTGTGTGTATGAAGTGCTGTTGTGGACCGGGGTTGCATCCTAGGTCAGCCATACTGGGATTGTTACACCCACACCAATGATCAAGGATATCAGCTGCAGCTGCAAATCTGTGCAATATCATCAGACAAAATGAGAGTGAGTGACAACCAAATAAAACAGGAACAGGGAATGTTCAATAACCAAAAAATACACTATACTTAATTAAACACTTTATTTCATATCATACAAAGAACGAAAATGTAAATGGTTGGTGGGTTTAGACATTAATCTTACTCTAAAACAAGAGAAAATTGAATAGTTCAAATTAATAGTGTATAATACAAATAATAAGCAGAATGTCAGGGCTGGTCTGGAACAGAAACCTGAACACCCAGAAGCTAGATCACCATGCATGTTCTAGGTTTATGCATTGTTACTTTTAACATTATTTTTGTAGTCCTTACAACCAATTATAACAATAAACCAGTAGTATACAGTATATATCCCATTGGTGATATACCCTTCAGTCTCTCCAGGACTTGGGACTTTCTTTGGGACCTTCAGCCGTAGAAAGGGTTTACCATCTTTCACAGATCTCTGTATCTGAGGTTAGGAAACATAGAAATTAGACCAGTCGTCATAGTTCTCTCTTTGGGACTGGAAATCAGTTCATTAGCTAGTTAGCTTAGCTACTAGCTAGGTAGCTAACTTGTCATTTTGTGTCATAAAAAAAAACAAATATTGGATGGATGTCTATCTATTTAGATGTAGCTAGCTACCTGACATTACCTAGAATGGATGATTAACTTGATAAACAACTTACCCGTGTGCTACACAGCACCATGGTGTCGCCACCTCCTGCTGCTGCTAACTTTACTATCGATGCACACTGCGATGCTTCGATCTAAAAACTTCAATTTTCCCCGGACGTAAGGACCATCCCACCCGCGAATAATATGGTCAAAAAAGCTAATTTTGACCTTGAGAAAACAACTAGACTTAGTTAGCTAGCTATTTACAGCCCCGACGGAAAAGCTGTTGTTTACAAATGCGCTGGAAGTTCTTTGGGGTTCCAGGGTTCACTTCCGCTCCTCCTCAAAAAGCCTTTTAAATGGTCTATAGTCAGTTGTCCTAAACCATCGCAGGTCCCGGATCATCAGACCACACTTAAATAGAGGTTACTCCCAAATGGCATCATATTCCCTACAGATGTAGGATCTTAATTTGAGCCAGTTTGCTACAGCAGGAAAATAAACCTGCAGCAACAGGAAATGTGAATTATTATGTGGATTATAATTAATGGGCATTTTTGTAGGGGTTGATCCATTTTTTGTGAAGAGAAAATCAAGTCTAAAATGTCAAAGTGGAAATTACAACTTTCAGAACCCTTTTTAATCCTCAAATACACTACAACTTTTAAATGTCCTATTCCCCCCCCCTTTCTCTTAATCCCTCTCCCTTCCTCCCTCCCTCCTTCCTTCCCTCTCCCTCCCTCCCTCCCTCCCTCCCCTCACCAGAGAGGCCCAGCGGGGGTTCTGCCAACAGGTCTCGTCAGGGTGTGAGTGGAAAAAGCTGGCTAGACAAAATGTCATTAGGAAGGATGTGTGTATATACATGCAGCGTAGAGCAGGGCACTGTCCGTCTGTCTGTCTGTCTGGCCTGTTTATTTTGATTTCACTCTGCAACTCCTCCTCCTTCTCGTATGAGAAAATGGCAAATTAGTTTTCCCGTTCAAGCCCAATAGGCCATGTCTCCTCTATGTAGCTCATATTGAGCGGCTGGGACTGTGGCAGCCCTTGTGCGGACTCTGGATGTGTGTGTGTGTGCACGTGTGTACGTGTGTGTGTGTGTGTGTGTGTGTGTGTGTGTGTGTGTGTGTGTGTGTGTGTGTGTGTGTGTGTGTCTGCCGTAACGAGGCAACACTTGATCTAGTAGTAGTTGGAATTGTCCCCTCAAACACACACTGACACATCACACCATTAAGTGTTTCGTAGGGACATTAGGTCAGATATGGATTATTTAATGGAAGAATACTGGGGAGGAAGACAAAGTTACACCATCATCGGAAATCAGAGGACAGACCTTATTTGAGCAATTCCTTTTAGGAATTTACAGTATATCCTAAAATGTTGAAGACAAGTAAAGCCTGAATGGTGTTATTACATATGTCTGATGTTAAATCAAAACTCTGTCCCTCCCTCTCTCCTCCAGAACTCCATCCGCCACAATCTATCCCTCCACAGTCGTTTTGTTCGTGTGCAGAACGAGGGGACAGGGAAGAGCTCCTGGTGGATGCTGAATCCAGAGGGAGGGAAGAGCGGGAAGTCCCCCCGACGTAGAGCTGCCTCAATGGACAACAACAGCAAGTTCACCAAGAGCAGAGGACGGGCTGCCAAGAAGAAGGTAGGAAGGAGCAGAACAGAACATACACTGTCTATCATTAGCTTTATTTCAGCACCTCTACAGTGTTTGTTTGTCAATATGGAAAAGTGAATAGGCTTGGGGCTCATCACTTAGACCATTATAGGTTAATCTGAGATGCCATGAAGTGCTGAAACTAAAGCAATCTCTACTTTTACCTACTGTGCAGAGTTGTTCTGCATATCTGTCAGCCTTGTGTCAGTGGACTGTCCACCTGTGTACCTTTGTCTACCTGAGCTCACCTCTGTCCGTCTCCCGTCTCCCCAGGTGGCTCTCCAGGGCGGGGTAGTTGGGGGTGCAGACAGCCCGGGAGGCTCCCAGTACTCCAAGTGGCTCGGCAGCCCCAACTCTCACAGCCACAGCAACGATGACTTCGAGGCCTGGACTACCTTCCGGACACGCGCCTCCTCCGACGCCTCCACCCTCTCCGGCCGTCGCTCTCCCTTCCTGGAACAGGACGTCGACCTATCAGAGGCTGACGTCCACATGGGCTACCCTGGAGTGGTGGGGCCTAAGATTACCTCCATGGCCACCCTGCCCAGCCTATCAGAGGTGGGCCTGGCCAGCTCCATGGGTGGTCATCATCACGGTCACCACGGAACAGAGAATGTCATGGACAGTCTCCTTGACAACCTCAACCTGCTGTCCCCCAAGAATCAAGCCCAGCTGGTGGTATGTGGCGGGCCTGGGTCTGGGCTCGACTCCTCCCAGTCCTCCCCCTCCTCCATGCTTCAGAACAGTCCCTATAGCTCCCCCTCCATGAACCCCCAACCCCAACAGCAGGACTACAGGAAGTGCCTCTATGGCCAGGCCGGGCCAGGGATGAACAGCCTGCATCTCTCCCCCATCCCCAGGCAGACGCTGCCAGAGAGCAAGCCTCCAGGGTCCTTTGCACCCTTCCGGAGCCATTACAACTGCCCCGCTGGGCTCCTAAAGGAGCTGCTGACCTCTGACGTAGCAGATCCCCATGGTGGGGGTGGTGGTGGTGGGGAGGCCATGCCCACCATGGAGACTGTAGTGTCCCAGTCTGGGAGAGGAGGAGGAGGGCGGATGCTGCCCAACTACAGCAGCCAGGGGCAGGTGGGACAGGTGGGGGGGCACGGAGAGGTGAAGATGATGAGTCCCCCTCCTCACCAACACCCACAACACCCTCAGTCCCATCCTCACCAACCACACCCTCACCCTCACCTGCGGCCTCTCCACAGCCAGGGCCAGGGCCGGGGCCAGGGCCAGGGCCCTCCCCCCTCTGGGCCCTCCATGAACGGCTGTGGCCTGATTCCCCTGACCTGCCTGAGCCAGGCTGGGGGCCCAGCCCGTCTAGCCAGCCTCAGGACACACATCCACCAGCTACAGCAGCAGCCCCACAGTGGTGGTGGTCACCCAGTCTCAGGCCACCACAACCACAGTCCCCACCACAGCGGAGCTCTTCCACCCAGCTACGGCAGCAGTGCTAATCGTTATGGGAGGCCAGGTCCAGGTCACAGCTCTGCTCATCCCCAGTCCCACCATCACCATCACCACCATCATCATCAGGAGAGGCTGCCTAGTGATCTAGACGACATGTCCATCGAAAGGTTTGAGTGTGACATGGAGTCTGTTCTTCACGATACGCTGATGGACGGAGACTCGCTGGACTTCAACTTTGACCCCATGGTGACCACCCAGGGGTTCAGTCAGGGGGTTGGGGTGAAGACCACCACACACAGCTGGGTGTCTGGCTAGGACACACGCACACACCTCTCCGACTCAGAGCAGACAGGTGAGCGTATAGAGATACAATACTGTATAATACAACAGTGTAAATATAATATATTTACTTTTAAATTATGTGGGTGAGTGTCTCAAACCATGTGTGGTAAATGTTTTAAAATCCTATAATTATGCAGTTATTGATGGTTTTATATTTTTGTTTTTTTTCTCCAGATTTTTCATTAAGAGAATGGGAAAGTCTAAAGAAACCATTGCCCCTCTCCAGAGGACTATCATCAACCCGTCCCAATTCTGTCACTATCCATTGCAGATCTGTAAGGTCGAAGAAATAAGGTGGAAGCTCCATCACTAAACTGTGTTTACCTATCTAGACCCTTTCGATTTGCAAAGATTGAAGGGTTAGGGCCAAGGGTAAGGGGTAAGGAGTGAATTGGGACTGCGCTGGCTGAGACTGCCTGTTTGGAGGGAAAGTCTGGTCTGAAGTTGGCTTTGTAAATATAGCAGCACTCGACTCGGCACAATATCACTCACTTCAACAGGACTTGGAAGACGATGGAGACTTATTTTACAGATTCTTAAAGCAATGTTTTATTGTGAAATATTTTTTGTGTTTATTATGTTATTTTAGTTTTTGGGATCTCACATTATGTTTTTGCGAGTGTGTATTTCTTTTTTTATGTTCAAAATCAGGGCTAGTTTTAGCGCTTCAAAAATAACTGGAATGGAGTCGGTTCTATTTCACATTCAAGTGGGATCTGTCCCACCCTTCAGGGTGCTTTTCAACAAGGTTGTCAAAAAGCGTTTTACATATTATGTATGGCTAAGATATTATTGATGTAAATATGCTACAATACTTCAAACATACAGTGCATTCGGAAAGTATTCAGACCACTCGACTTTTTCCACATTTTATTACATTACATCCTTATTCTAAAATGAATTAAATTGTTTTTTCCCTCATCAATCTACACACAATACCCCATAATGACAAAGCAAAAAAAAAGGGTTTTGTAAGTTTTTGCAATTGTATAGGAAATATCACATTTACATATGTATTCAGACCCTTTACTCAGTACTTTGTTGAAGCACCTTTGGCAGTGATTACAGCCTCGAGTCTTCTTGGGTATGACGCTACAAGCTTGGCACACACGTATTTGGGTACTTTCTCCCATTCTTCTCTGCAGATCCTCTCAAGCTCTGTCAGGTTGGATGGGGAGCATCGCTGCACAGCTATTTTCAGGTCTCTCCAGAGATGTTCGATCACGTTCAAGTCCGGGCTCTGGCTGGGCCACTCAAGTACATTCAGAGACTTGTCCTGAAGCCACTCCTGTGTTGTCTTGGCTGTGTGCTTAGTGTCTTTGTCCTGTTGGAAGGTCAACCTTCGCCCCAGTCTGAGGTCCTGAGCGCTCTGGAGCAGGTTTTCGTTAAGGATCTCTCTGTACTTTGCTCCGTTCATCTTTCCCTCGATACTGACAAGTCTCCCAGTCCCTGCTGCTGAAAAACATCCCCACAGCATGAAGCTGCCACCACCATGCTTCACCGTAGGGATGGTGCCGAGTTCCTCTAGACGTGACGTTTGGCATTCAGGCCAAAGAGTTCAAACGTGGCTTCATCAGACCAGATAATCTTGTTTCTCATGGTCTGAGAGTCCTTTAGGTGCCTTTTGGCAAACCCTAAGCGGGCTGTCATGTGCCTTTTACTGAGGAGTGGCTTCCGTCTGGACGCTCTACCATAAAGGCCTGATTGGTGGAGTGCTGCAGAGATGATTGTCCTTCTGGAATGTTACCCCATCTCCACAGAGGAACTCTGAAGTTCTGTCAGAGTGATCATCGGGTTCTTGGTCACCTCCCTGACCAAGGCCCTTCTCCCCCGATTGCTCAGTTTGGCCGGGCGGCCAGCTCTAGGAAGAGTCTTGGTGGTTCCAAACTTCTTCCATTTAAGAATGATGAAGGCCACTGTGTTCTTGGGGACCTTCAATGCTGCAGACATTTTTTGGTACCATTCCCCAGATCTGTGCCTCGACACAATCCTGTCTCAAATCAAATCAAATGTTATTTGCCACATGCGCCGAATACAACAGGTGTAAACCTTACAGTGAAATGCTTACTTACAAGCCCTTAACCAACAATGCAGTTTTAAGAAAAAAAAAAAAAGTGTTAAGTAAAAAATAGATAAGTAACAAATAAAAATAGCAAAGAATTAAAGAGCAGCAGTAAAATTAAATAACAGTAGGGAGGCTATATACAGGGGGTACCGGTACAGAGTCAATGTGCGGGGGCACCGGTTAGTCAAGGTAATTGAGGTAATATGTACATGTGGGTAGAGTTAAAGTGACTATGCATAGATAAGAAACAGAGTAGCAGCAGCATAAATATTCTGGGTAGCCATGATTAGCTGTTCGGGAGTTTTTTCCTGTAGTCCACAATAATCTCCTTTGTCTTGATCACGTTGAGGGAGAGGTTGTTATCCTGGCACCACACGGCCAGGTCTCTGACCTCCTCCCTATAGGCTGTCTCATCGTTGTCGGTGATCAGGCCTACCACTGTTGTGTCGTCTGCAAACTTAATGATGGTGTTGGAGTTGTGCCTGGCCATGCAGTCATGGGTGAACAGGGAGTACAGGAGGGGACTGAGCACGCTTCCCTGAGGGGCCCCCGTGTTGAGGCTCAGCGTGGCAGATGTGTTGTTAACTACCCTTACCACCTGGGGGCGGCCCGTCAGGAAGTCCAGGGTCCAGTTGCAGAGGGAGCTTTGAGGGTAATATGGTGTTGAACGCTGAGCTGTAGTCAATGAATAGCATTCTCACGTACAGTTGAAGGCGAAAGTTTACATACACAGGTTGGAGTCATTAAAACTCGTTTTTCAACCACTCCACAAATTTCTTGTTAACAAACTATAGTTTTGGCAAGTCGGTTAGGACATCTACTTTGCGCATGACAGAAGTAATTTTCCCAACAATTGTTTACAGACAGATTATTTCACTTATAATTCACTGTATCACAATTCCGGTGGGTCAGAAGTTTACATACACTAAGTTGACTGTGCCTTTAAACAGCTAGGAAAATTCCAGAAAAGGATGTCGTGGCTTTAGAAGCTTCTGATAGGCTAATTGACATAATTTGAGTCAATTGGAGGTGGACCTGTGTATGTATTACAAGGCCTACCTTCAAACTCAGTGCCTCTTTGCTTGACATCATGGGAAAATCAAAAGAAATCAGCCAAGACCTCAGAAAAAATGTGTAGACCTCCACAAGTCTACTTCATCCTTGGGAGCAATTTCCAAACACCTGAAGGTACCACGTTCATCTTAACAAACAATAGTTCGCAAGTATAAACACCATGGGACCACACAGCCGTCATACCGCTCAGAAAGGAGACGCATTCTGTCTCCTAGAGATGAACATACTTTGGTGCAAATCAATCCCAGAACAACAGCAAAGGACCTTGTGAAGATGCTGGGGGAAACAGGTAAAAAAGTATATATATCCACAGTAAAACGAGTCCTATATCGACATAACCTGAAAGGCCGCTCAGCAAGGAAGAAGCCACTACTCCAAAACCGGCATAAAAAAAGCCAGACTACAGTTTGCAACTGCACATGGGGACAAAGATCGTACTTTTTGGAGAAATGTCCTCTGGTCTGATTAAACAAAAATAGAACTGTTTGGCCATAATGGGCTCCCGAGTGGCGAAGCGGTCTAAGGCACTGCATCTCAGTGCTTGAGGCGTCACTACAGACCCCCTGGATTCCAGGCTGTATCACAACCGGCCGTGATTGGGAGTCCCATAGGGCGGCGCACCATTGGACCAGTGTCGTCCGGGTTTGGCCGGTGTAGGCCATCATTGTAAATAAGAATTTGTTCTTAACTGACTTGCCTAGTTAAATAAAATAATAAAATAAAATAATGACCATCGTTATGTTTGGAGGAAAAAGGGGGTCGCATGCAAGCTGAAGAACACCATCCCAACCATGAAGCATGGGGGTGGCAGCATCATGCTGTGGGTGTGCTTTGCTGCAGGAGGGACTGGTGTTCTTCGGCATCATGAGGAAGGACAATTATGTGGATATATTGAAGCAACATCTCAAGACATCAGTCAGGAAGTTAAAGCTTGGTCGCAATGGGTCTTCCAAATGGACAATGACCCCAAGCATACTTCCAAAGTTGTGGCAAAATGGCTTAAGGACAACAAAGTCAAGGTATTGGAGTGGCCATCACAAAGCAATGCTACTAAATACTAATTGAGTGTATGTAAACTTCTGACCCACTGGGAATTTGATGAAATAATAAAAGCTGAAATAAATCATTCTCTCTACTATTATTCTGACATTTCACATTCTTAAAATAAAGTGGTGATCCTAACTGACCTAAGACAGGGAATTTTTTACTAGGATTAAATGTCAGGAATTGTGAAAAACTGAGTTTAAATGTATTTGGCTAGGGTGTATGTAAACTTCCGATTTCAATTGTAGGTGTTCCTCTTGTCCAGGTGGGAAAGGGCAGTGTGGAGTGCAATAGCGATTGCATCATCTGTGGATCTGTTGGGGCGGTATGCAAATTGGAGTGGTTCTAGAGTTTCTCTGAGCTCTACGAACAATTCCTTCAACCTCATGGCTTGGTTTTTGCTCTGACATGCACTGTCAACTGTATGACCTTATATAGACTGGTGTGTGCCTTTCCAAATCATGTCCAATCAATTGGATTTACCCCAGGTGGACTCCAATCAAGTTGTAGAAACATATCAAGGATGATCAATGGAAACAGGATGCAAAAGGTCTGAATACTTATGTAAATAAGGTATTTTTTAAATTTGTAAATTTTTAATTTACAAAAATTGGTGCAAAAACCTGTTTTTGCTTTGTCATAATGGGATATTGTGTGTAGATTGATGAGCAATTTTTTTTATTTAATCAATCTTTTAATAAGGCTGTAACGTAACAACATTTTGAAAACGTCAAAGGGGTCTGAATACTTTCCAAATGCACTGTATATGCTGTATGCTGTGTGTATATTT